TATGAAATTAATAGAGAATCTTTTATCTGTTTTTTAAGGGTTAAATGCTAATTTATATAGGCTAGCATCTCTGGATTGCTTGCTTATCCTTAAATAAATGAAGTAAAGGGGGAAAAAATCTTTAACAGGGCAAAAAATCCCACAGATGGGGTAACATGTTATGACTGGGCTGCTTCAGCCAGCTATAAAAATTGCAGTCTTAGAAGCAATACCATAAGTAGTGTTATGCAAATTGTAAGAATACATTAATATCCAAGGTGCCTCACATGCTAATTAGCAGAATTTTCTTTTCTTTATCCACAGTGGGTATAAATCATTAATAGCCCTTCTACTTCTGCCTCCCTTAATAGGTGGCTCATTTACATATCTACCTGGTAGTCCAACATTAAGCTCTAATCTTAATTTTAGCCATCTGCATATGGATCGCTATTCTCTCCTTTGACTTAAAATATGGGAAGAAAGCACATAGATCGATATGCTTTCATTTGCTTATGCTTGCAACAAATCTTAGAACATAATTTAGTACTCAAGTGAGGTCAAAGCTTTAATAGAATCCAGAAAAGTAGTGAGATCACAACCTGTCCTGTTCCTCCTGTGAATGTTATGGCCAAACAGACTTAAATCTGACTTATCCATATCCAAAGCCCATTTTCTAAAGATCATGCTATAGTGAACTCAGGTTAAAAATATATTTTCCATTCTTGGATTTTGTTGGCTATGTACATTTTACCTTGTTCATGAATTCACACTGATTTGGGTATCTAGGCAATTCTTTTGTAACTCTAGCCATGTAGACATATAAATCATGTCCATATAATGAGAGGCAGCCAGGCAGCAAATATTAAATACAAATCCTTCCTCCTTTCTCTGCCTTGCAGCACAGGTTGCACAAGAAAAATGAGATCTCACCCAGTCAGTTGTTTCCTGAAAACCTTTTTCCCTTGCTCCCATGCCTTCTCTTGAGTTTTGCCTCCAGTAGTTGATTGAGATAAGATGGCAGTAGCTGCATAGTTCTGTCTTATCTCCCTTGTTTGCTTCCCCTAGGCACAATGGCAAAGGAGATTGGTCTAGGAAAGTAGATAGCTCTGCCAGAGTGTTTGGCTTCTTCTTTCTTTCTTTTATTAATTAATTTTTATTAAAGAAAGGTTTAACGAATAAAAACAGTACAATTTTATAAAAGTTTAAAAGTTTAATTTTAAAAATAAAGTTAAAGAAAAGAAAATAATCAGTAAATGAGAAAGAAATAAAATGAAAGAGAAAGGAAATAAATAGAAAATTATAAAGGAGTAACCAGCAGTTATAAAGCATTTATATTTTATCCCCTCTCTAAGGTTAGATTGTGGCTCCCTTCTTTCATAGCCTACCCTTTGTAATCATTCAACTCATAAATCACAAGTTCATTTTTTTCTATTTTCAGCAAAAAGTTCATAAAGGGTTTCCAGTTATTGGCAAACATAGTTACTGAGACCTCCTGTTTCTGATCAGTGAAGCAAGCAGGCACCTCATGATCTTACTCACTGAACTTTGCCCCTAGCGATGGTACTTTGGTGTGCATAGATTAATCAAATTAATCAAAGTGACTAAATTAGTGGATTGGGAAAATACTATGGACATAGTTTACTTAGAGTTCAGTAAGGCATTTGACAAAGTAGACAACAGTCACCTCCTTGGTAAGATAGAAAAAATGTTCTATAGGATGGGCTTAAAACTGGCTGACCAATCATACTCAGCATGTAGTCCTCAATGGAACTACATTTACATGGAAGGAAGCATGAAGTGGGGTACCTCAAGGCTTTGTCTTAGGCCCAGTACTCTTCATCATCTTCATAAATGATTTGGATGAGGGGATAGAATGGGAACTCATCAAATTTGCAGATGAAACCAAGCTGGGGGAAATTGCCAACATCTTAGAAGATAGACTGAAGATTCAGAAGGATCTTGACAGACTTTATTATTGGGCTCTATCCAACAAGATGCAGTTCAGTAGTGAGAAAAGTAAGTTCCTGCACCTAGGCAAGTAAAATCAAATGCACAGGTATAGAATAGGTGGTACCTGGTTCAACAGTAGTGAAAGGAATCTCTGTGTCCCGGTGGACCACCACTAAATATGAATCAGCAGTCTACTGCAGCTTCCAAAAAAGCCAGTGCAATCCTAGGAAGCATCAACACAGGGATAGCATCAATATCACGAAAGATGATAGTGCACTAGTGAGGCCACACTTGGAATATTACGTCACGTTCTGGTTATCACAATACAAAAAGATGCTGAGGAGGTCCTAGAAAGAGTGCAGAGAAGAGCAACAAAGATGATAAGGAGTCTGGAGACTAAACTGTATGATGAACAGTTAAGGAAACTAGGTATGTCTGGCCTATCAAAGAGAAGGATTAGGAGTGACGTGATAGTTAATTATCTTAACTTTTGTATTTGTATGTTTTTTAATTTTGGCTGTTCACCGCCCTGAGTCCCTTCTGGGAGAAGGGCGGTATACAAATTAAATAAATAAATAAATAAATAGCTGTGTTCCAACACTTCAGAGATTGTCACAGAGAGGCGATCAACCTAGCCTCCAAGGCATCTGAGGCTAGGACAAGAAGTAACAAGCTTTTCTGTAACAGTGTTGTTCCCTCTGCCATCCATCCAGTAAGCTCGCAAGATTCATTTTTCTCGCCATGTACATGTATACATCCAAACTAGACTGTGTTGTTTCTCTGTGTCATGTAATATATGTCGGCATATGCATAATTTTGTATTTATTTATTTATTTGGCCATGTTTATGTAGTGCATAGTAGTAACTCTTTGAGAGCTGTATGTAACGAAATTTCATTTTATGCCGATTAGTGTACACTCAAAGTGACAATAAAGTTATTCTAAATCTGAGTCTAAGAAGTAGAAGATCATCAAAAAGAGCTACAACCTAGAACTAAGGAGACATTTCCTGACGCTAAAAACAATTGATTAATGGAACAACTAGTCTCCAGAAGTTGTGGATGCTCCATCACTGGAGGTTTTCAACAACAGATTGGACAGCCATTTGTTTGGAATGGTATAGGGCCGTGATGGCGAACCTATGGCATGCGTGCCAGAGGTGGCACGCAAAGCCCTCTCTGTGGGCACGTGCCCCGTCGCCAGCTGCTCTTTTGGTTTGGTCTTTGCACATGCTGGAGCACCAGAAACCCAAAGATCAGCTGGCCTTTGCGCATGCGCTTATGCAGGCCTAGACTATTCACATGTGCACCGGCCAGCTGGTCTTCGGGTTTCCAGTACTCTGTGTGCATGCATTCCAGTTTGGGCACTCGGTTCCGAAAAGGTTCACCATCACTGGTATGGGGTCTCCTGCTTGAGCAGGGGGTTGGACTAGAAAACCTCCAAGGTCCCTTCCAAGCCTGTTATTCTATGTTATTCTCTGTATCTCCCAGTAAACAGAGGATAAGGCTTCCCATTGACAAAGTTGCTTCTTAGTTGGCCAAGCACAATTCTTCCCATTACATCCTCTAGAGAAATTAGATGCAGACAGAGTGGAGCTTTCCAGCATTGCCATGCTTCCTTGAGTTTTATTTTTCTCTCTGCAAGTGACCTCCTTTCAGACAAGCAAAGAGGCATGCACACAGGAGACAATCATCCTCTTTTCATTTCTCTTACTGTTAAAAAGAAACTAGGCGGTAGAAAAAGAGAATGCAAATAGCACCCTTTGCTCAATGACTAGTCACCGCCACCTCTGTTTCTCCATGTTTTTCTGTGTAAAGGATTGGTCATAGCACGAACTGACATTTTATTCTCCCATTTCCTTCTGGGCAACAGCATGTAGGGATTCACCTCAGTGTATCGAATCTACCATAGTGTGCCATTCTGAGTGAGCACAGGAAACCCACAAAGAACAATCTTCCTCTATGTGGTCAGTCTCGCCTTCTACCATAAGGACTAAGCACATGATGGTTACAATATTTCCAAATGCACACTTGCCTTCTCCTTCTGCCAGACTAGCATCAACACAATGTGCTTTTTGCCCAAGATAAGGGACAAGCTTTGGATTCCTATCATGCCACTATGTGCTGGTTCAACCCTACTCAACTCTGCTGAGAGTATCATTGGGTGTATTGATGTGTAGCAGGCTAGTTTAAAGGGTGAATAGGCCACCAACAGCATTCAAACAACTACTACAGTACTCCCCTCAAGGCTCCCTGGAATATCCTGCTTCTGTCAATCACTCTGTGCTAGCCTGCAGCATTTTATCTGCTTATGTATAATAATGATTTTAAGGAAATGAAGGTATATTTTTTTCATATCTCCTTCTGGGTTTCTTTGGAATTTCAGAAAAAATGAAAACTTTTCTCCCATCTGCAAAGAGCTGCTCACCTGTGTTCTGAACAGCAAAGTCAATATTTTTGTAGCCAATATTTTTGCTGCTTAAAATGAAAAAAATCAGAGCTCACAAGTCTTGTCTGGAATTATGTTTCCAATAGCAGTAGGAGAAACATAATTAAGATGTATAGCTTTTCTAAATGATAGGGATTGTCTGAATGGGTTAAACTAGTGACATACTAATTAATGTAATTTAAGAGTGTGTTTGTGTATATGTATATATATATGTGTGTGTGTGTATATATATACACATATCCATTTAAATTAACTCCGCTGCCAAAGCATTTGCAATTACATTGAGGGCAGATTTTATTTTAATTTATGATTAATGTAATTTTGCAAGCATCCATAGACTGAAAGTATTTGTGTACTTTTTACATTAAAAATAACAAATTAATTTTCAGCATGTCATTGAAGACACTAGCATTTCTGTTTCTAACTGGTTTATTATAAAAGCCATGTCTCTGCTTTATATATTGTAATATGAAAGGGTGTTATTTATGTTGGAGATAAATATTCTGGTTATTTGGTTTTTGTCTTAGCTGCCTTCTCTTATAACAATGCTTTCATTAGGTGAAGACATTTTTAAATTATTCTAATAATCCTAATAATAGATTTTAACCTTACTGGTTTTTACAGGTGACCAGTAACTGTTTCAGCATAAGCAATGGAGAACTGCAAGATGTTGGTGTTGGACTTTATCCCAGGTACAGTGGACAAGCATTACTTTTGTGGTTCTAGTGGTATCTCTCTCCTCCACTCCTTCCCTCCCCCCTCTCTCACACACACATTCTCTCTCTCTCTCTCAAGCACACACAGACATACATTCTCTCTCTCTCCCTCCCTCTCTCACATACGCATTCTCTCTGTCTCTCCCTCTCCCTCCCTCCCTCCCTCCCTCCCTCCCTCCCTCTCTCTCTCTCTCACACACACACACATTCTTTCTTCCTCCCTCCCCCTTCTCTCTCTCACACACACGGACATACATTCTCTCTCTCTCCCTCCCTCCCTCCCTCTCTCACACACACATTCTCTCTCTCTCTCTCAAGCACACACAGACATACATTCTCTCTCTCTCCCTCCCTCCCTCTCTCTCTCACACACACACATTCTCTCTCTCTCTAACACACACAGACATACATTCTCTCTCCCTCCCTCCCTATCTCTCTCACACACACATTCTCTCTCTCTCTCTCTCTCAAATACACACAGACATACATTCTCTCCTTCCCACCCTCCCTTTCTGCCCAATTCTTGGCGACTACTTGGACAAGTCCATGGAGTTTTCTTGGCAAGATTTTTTAGAAGTGATTTTCTATTGTCTCCTTCCTAAGGCTGAAAGAAAGTAACTGGCCCAAGTCACTCACCTGGCTTTGTATCCAAGGCCGGACTAGAACTCATGGTCTTTTGGTTTCCAGCCTGTTGTCTTAATCCCTAAACCAAACTGGCTCTCTTTGCAGTATTAAAAAGCATATTTCCCCCTATGTTTAGCTGTATTCTATTCCAGGAATTTACAAATTTCCAGGGAGCATGACTACAGCTCGTTCAGCAGAGCTTTATAACTGTTTAGCAGTTATAAAGAGTTCTGGATGAAGAAGCCAGACTGTCTACTCATGCTCTGTTGAGCTTCTGCTCATAGATAACAAGAAAAGTCCAATAGCTGTTTCTTTTTCTCATGCTCCTCTAGTAATGGGAGGCAGCAACAGTTTTCTCTGCTTTTTGGAAAGACTTCAGGATAGCCTGAACCAGAAAGAGTTGCAGATAGGGGCCTATCGGCTGAAACTAGGAATGAGAGCAGCAGCAATGTAAAGAAGGATCCACACATGTGAAGAAAGAAAGAGAGCTCAAAATGAAGCACCTGGCAAATAAAAGAGATTATCTGGGGGAATCATTCTGATGAATAAACATTGAACACCTCCCTTCTACCTTGTATTCTGCAACAGCAATATTCTGGCCTGTGAGGTCCTAGAAATTGTAATTTTCCAGGATGCCTGAGTTCTTCTAAGAAATATTGCATGTCTTGGAATGCATTTTCCCAGAATCCCTTAGGATTTATTATGCTGCTGATCGACCTTTTTCTGGATTTCCCCAAAATCACTGCCGACAGTTGAAAATGAATGTGACAACTAAGAAATCTTATTTTTGGCTTTGAGTGGAGGCAGTAAAACCCTGATAGTCTTATGAGGATATCAGGACAATGGGAAAAATTAAATTTTTGAATTGCACTCAGAGAAAGAAAGGAGGAAAAAAACTATTCCCTTATTCACATTTTTCCCCTCAGGCATTTTAGAATTCAGATCCAGATTTTAAAGATAATTTCAATATCCATTATCAAACAGCTAGTTTTACTATTCTTGTATTGATTGTTTTTATTTTTTTTATATATCTAATTTCTATAGCTGCTCATCTCAGTCAATGACCATGGGCAACTTTCAATTGTAAAAATAAAAAAATGAGGTGTCCTTGATGCTCTCTTGAGTTTGGTTGTTTTCTTGCAGCTGTTTCATTAGGCAAGCTAGGTAACCTCATCCGTACTAGTCAGGAGTGGGGTTTTGCTCACATGTTATATTCTAGTGCTCTGCCCTGTCATTGTAACTGGGAGTGGTCTTGTTGATTCTTTGGTTCGGCTGTTTATTGTTAGCTTTGGCAGTTCCTTGATTGGGATAGTGTTTGTTTCTTAATTGTTGGTCTAATGTTGATGTTGGTGTTAATCCCTGCTTATCTGGGTATTAATTGATGGCAAGGGGTTCTGGTACTTTTGGTTTGTTGATTGTTTTTTTTTTTTTAATGGTGTATAGAAGTTATTTATGTCTATGTGCCTATTGTTAGCCAGTTTGTCAGAGTGCCAGGCTCTTGCATTTTTGAACTTGGCTTGATCTAGGATAGTCACAGTTTCCCAGTTGAAACCACAGTTCAGCCTGTCCACGTGTTGTGAAATTAAGAAGTTTCCATCATGTCTTCTGACAGCTAGTTGATGTTCACGGATGTGCTGCTAATCTTCCATCTGTTTGTCCTACATAGTTTTGCAGTCCTTACACCAGGGGTGTCAAACTCACGTCATCACAATGGCGTCACGTGACGTATCGGGACTTTTTCCCCTTTGCTAAACCAGGCGTGGGTGTGGCCAGCACGTGACGCATCCAGCCCAAGGGCCAGGAGTTTGAAAGCCCTGCCTTACACTCTTTGTTGTAGAGGTCTACCCATGTGTTATGAAATTAAGGAGTTTTCATCTATAAACAAAAGGCATCAAGCCCATTCTAACCCATAGAGAATGAACAAAAAAACTACAATGATTTGTGGCTTATATTTTATGATGGAGATAATTGTAATTCTTTCTTAACAACTTCTATAGTTTATTTATATTTAAAATGTAGTTAAATTTATCGAAATGTAAATTTTATTTAGTAGAGACCTGCATGTAGAGAACTCTCTGCATTGTGTTGTGATAATTTTATTGTGCTTCTTTTATGCTTTTCTTTATTGTTATCCACTCAGAATCACTAATTTAAGGTGGGCAACCTCATAAACCAATCAATCTTTGAGTCCCTCCCTATTCAATTTCTAGTATCAACCTGAGAGATACTAAGCTAGATAGATTTGTAGAATAAATACTTTCCTGTATATCTATTTCTTACCTGGATTTTTTTTTTCTTCATTAGCATGTCCTTGTTGAACAACAGTTGTGATCCTAATTGTGTGGTCATCTTTGAGGGTCCCCAACTCCACCTTCGGTCCATTCGGGAAATGCAATTGGGAGAAGAGGTAATTAATTTATTGTTTCTTCCATACCAGGAATCTGCAGATTGAATATCTTGATAATATATCTTGATGTTATTTCTGTTTCATAGCTTTCAGGAAAAACATAACAAAATAAATCTTTTCTTCGAATAGTATGGTGCCCTCATCATTGCAGTGCTGCTTATAAACAAAACCAAAGAAAAACTACATGTGGGTGGAATTCAACATGCAGTAAATCACTGCAACTGTAAGCATTTGTCAGACTAAAGCCATGCTGAAGCAGTAAACCTTTCCTGCAAGGAACGTATGAGGCAAAAGTTGTTTTCTCGTACGTTTTATTTAAAAAGAATTACCCTTCTAAACGATTTGTGTTTTTGTCAGAGAATTCTTCATACCATTTTCTTTTCCTTTTTTTAAGATGGCCATATCGAATTATCTGAATTTATGAACAAAATAGAAAATAGTGTCTGTTTCTCTCCTTCTGTGTGTGTGTGTGTGTGTGTGTGTGTGTGTGTGTGTGTGTGTGTGTTATCTGACTGCCTGTTTCTAATTAAGAGGCTCCTTGAGTTTCAAATCTAATCCAAATTACACCGAAACAATTATACCACTTTAGTCCAGCAGCAGCATAAAACTTCATTTTTCCCCCTTGGCTTTTTTTCTATATTCCTCTCCAGTGTTAGCTTTGGCAAGAGGGAAAAGAGGCAAAGAATGTAATGTAGGGACAGAAAACATTGGTTACTGGGAGATAGGATTAAATTTACAGGTAATTTTGCTGATTTTAGAGTTCTGCAGTTCTGTTCATTTTAGAAAGCAGCTTATCGGAATCTCTTGATGTGCTGGATTACAGTTCCTGTAGCAGGTAGAAGACTGGTATATCGGCATTTTTAGCTTATAGTGTTTATATATTATTATATGTATAAATAATTAGATTATACTGAAATGCTTGAGAATTTCAAAGCTAACAGCATAGAATTAAAACCTATTAAATAAATCTTGTCACATTTCATACCTTTAAATGAATAGTCCCTTTGAATCATCAGAGCTGATCGCCTCAAACAAGAAGTTTACCACCAAACCACTTATGATTAACCCTTTTCTAGCAAGTGCCATAATTAAAAAAAAAAAACAGGGAGCCTTATATTTTATGAAATTGAATCTTATTAGCACTGCAAATAAACTTTCAAATTCCTGGTCTTCTCAAGAAATGGACCTCACAATAGAAATATTTATGAAGGATGACAGCAGTTGGTTTCCTAAATTGTAAGCACACAATCAAGAACTTTAATCAGGATTTATTCACCTATAACAGAGTGGGCAAGCTGTGACCTCAGAAGCATTTGGTCTTCAGCCTAATTAGAGAAGATTTTTCTCATAATATATTCAGTCCTCTGACAAAAGTAGGGGATTTAGTAATCCCCTAAACTCAATTGAAGATGTTACCTAGCCTTGTAATGAAACGTTTGGAAGCCAGCCCACAATCTTGGAGTACGAACCTCCATGCTCAAAGTAATCTGTTTTGCCATCAGCAACTAACTGAATAAAGAGTTACCTCTGGCTCTACTCAGTAGTAGCTATTCCATGCCCAAAATGTGGCCCCGATAGTTCATGCTTCAGGGATTGTTGACAGCCCATTCTGATCTAGAGTGTTATGATGGGTAGTCACAAATCACTAGTGTTAGGTAAAGTTTTATTCAAATGTTGTACTTATTTAAACCTTGCACCATCCTGTTATGAGATGGGCAGCACTGTAAATAATTTAAACCAATAAATAAATCATTAAAAAAATAGAACACATGAACGCAATGAGATATCATTAACATAAAATGTATTTCTTTATCTCTGAGTTCATTTGAATATAAAACTAACCTGTAGGTTATCATTAGGTGAATAAGACTTGGGTATTCTCCTACAGTATAACAATGGTGACTAAAAGAATTTTTACCCACCCATAGTTTAGTGTTGTGTCCAAATCTCAAGAATCTGTGTTTAATTGTCATTTGGGAAAGATGGAGAATATATTCATTTTGCATTGGCACCTACCAATTATATATAGAATAATCGGAATACATGTATACTTACAAACACTCTAAATTTTGCATTTTTCAGAATTCTACATGTTATTCACAACTAAATGTGCACAACCTTTTGTTAACCTTTATCACAGTTGAGGTTAAACATGAAGGTTAGTAGAAAGGAAGTAAAAGTTTCCAATGTCCTTACAGATGCACCAGAAGAGGAAAAATGAAATAAGTGTAAGACTCAAGATGCATATAATAATGGACCAAGTATAAACTAAAGATAAGCATGGACTTTGCAACTCATTTTGTGTTTACAGCTCATTATGAGTTAGTTTAGTTTGACAGTCAGCAATGGACATAGTTCTATATAGGTGAAAAGATATTTGAGCCATCCTTTATCTTTCTGGTTCTAATTAGACACTTGCCCCATTGAACATGCTTGATTTTTCTTGTATTACATATATATGTTCCAGAAGTCATCTCTCAGTCTCTGAGTTGAAGTCCAGTAATTCTCCCTGACTCTATAGTCTTCACTGGAAATTTGCTTCAATATAGAATTATTAATTATGCCCATATAAATTGTTTACGGTTTAAAATGATTACCTATTTTCTAATGTAATGTTGAAAAAATGTTCTGCTGTCCTTCTTAGATGATTACCCAGTATTTTAACCTGGGGGTGGTGGATCTTGTTGTTGCTATTCCAATGGCTGCATAAGTATAACATGCATTCTTTGTCAAAATATAAGTCTTTCTGGTCTTTGTCACATGCAGCTCACCATCAGTTATACTGAAACTGTAATGCCCACTCCGGAACGTCAGCAGAATCTGAAGCGTCAGTATTGTTTTGAATGTGATTGCGTCATGTGCTCCACACAAAGCAAGGTGAGTCAGCTAAATTTGTCTTTTGACCAGGTAATATGGGGCAATACTTGTGCTGAGAGTAGAGATAGCTTGAAACAAACAATAAAAGGAACAAAATAATGAGAATTTTTTAAAGGATGCTCTAGGAATTCTTTTATTTCATCACTTTTTCTTAGGTGTATTGGAATTTTATTATATTTTGGAACCAGAGTTCTTTATTCCTATCCTTTCTTCCGATCTTTTTAAAGAGTTTTGCTCTTATTGGTTGCTTCTGGTTCTTTCACGATGTAAGAGCAAACAGTTATATATTTTTCTTAACCCAACTTGCTTATTCATAAAAACACAGAATCTAGAAGTGCTACATAATCTATAGCAATAGCAATAGCACTTAGACTTATATACCGCTTCACAGTACTTTACAGACCTCTCTCAGCAGTTTACAGAGTCAGCATATTGCCCCCAACAATCTGGTTCCTCGTTTTATCGACCTCGGAAGGATGGAAGGTTGAGTCAACCTTGAGCCTAATGGGAATTGATCTGCCAAACTGCTGGCAGCTGGTGATCAGCAGAAGTAGCCTGTAGTACTGCATTATAACCACTGCGCCACCGCAGCTCTTAATATATAAGCATTTATATGTTATAAAATGCCATAAAGCATTTTTGTATTTGCTTGGATGTATATTCTTTCTCCTTCCAATAGCCACTCGTGCCTTTTTAAAATGCTGTTCATGAATATTCCATTGTATACTGTCTCATCAGTCATTCTGAGAGGCTTTAATCAAATTGGCTTAAGTGAGTTAATTTGTACAATTTTATTCAAGAATTAACGATTTGATTAATATTTTTGTTTTATATCTGCATGTTGATCCCATTGTTGTTTACATTTTTTTCTATTGTCGTCGTTTGAAATTGTTAAACTTCTTGTCTATTTGACATGTTAAGAGAGTTTGAGTATAATCTCGTGAAACAGCCACAGTTAAGATAGTTTTGATGATGATGATGATGATGACATCAATACATTGAATCCTTCCTTTTACTTGAGAAAAAGAAATGAAATCATGAGTTGAAAAAAACTATGTGCATATTTATCTTTAAATGAAACAATGGATGGAAATTAATCAAGGAGAGAAGCAACCTGGAACTAAGGAGAAACTTCCTAACAGTGAGGACAATTAACCAGTGGAACAGCTTGCCATCAGAAGTTGTAGGTGCTTCATCACTGGAGATTTTTAAGGAGGGACTGGACACTCACTTGTCTGAAATAGTAGGGTCTCCTGCTTGAGCAAGGGGTTGGACTAGTGATCTCCAAGGTCCCTTTTAGCTCCATTCTGATTGAAATCCTTGAATTATTTCTCAGTTGTTTGAAGATGTTTGTAGTTATACAATAATCCTGTAGTCATATTAAATCAAAATGGAAAAAGTCAATATTTAAAAAGTATGGTGTAGTATTTTTGACATATGCAAATGCATTTTAAAAAGATGCATGAAGTACATTACCACTGACTGGGTAATATTCACAGAGTACTGCATTTTCTCTGTTATTAGTTCTGCTCCGTGAACAAATCTCCCACTTTTGACACATTGCGTCTCCTGTTTCTATCTCCAAACTAATAATCAGTAGTCTGTCCAAGACAAAAGCAATTGGTCAAAAGCCAGGAAAGCAATCATGTCTGATCTTCAGAGTAAAATATTACAGAAACTAATACTCAATGATCTGAAAGACCAAGCCAGAAAATTCTGATGAGAATTTTACAAGGTATGAAAATTCACAGTAGGGTTTATACTGCCCAATTTAATAAAGGAAGTTTTTATTTCCAGCGCTTGAAAAATTTACAATGTTGTGGCATAGTCCCTAATCCTACTAAGTCTTTGTTTATGGCATCCTCAAACTTTTATTCATATCCTCCACAGTTTCATGTGTTTTTTTGTGTTAAGAAAATGACAAAGAATAGGAGATTCCTATTGCATTGTCTGTAATGTTTCTTGGCCTAGACTCTTCTCTACCTGAAAGTTGTGATTCTAACAAGGTTTTATGGACTTCCTTCATCTCTTGCTCTTCTTCAGATGAGGAACTGCCAAGAATATCTTATGCATTTTTAAACTGTTTTTTAATTATCATCATGGTTGCTTCCAGGCAAATGCCCCTGATTGTTACCAGTCCAAGAGCCATGTGCACCTGTTATGTTTTTCCTTCCTTAACTTGTAAAAATTATCATCTGAATTCCCATAATTTCTGGACCCATTTTGGAGGGAAGCACTGCAAATTGTGCCTAATATTGAACAAAGACTATTCTGAGACATGGTGCATATAGACGGTAGATTTTAGCCCAAGGCTAAGGGCTAATTTGGAAGAAAATTTTAATTCTGTTAGTGATTGTGTTGTTGAATTTTAGGGATCCTTATTTTTTAATCCCCACTTGATCAGATAAAGAAAGTTGAAAAGCCATTCCTTGAAGTTACTCACATTACATTTATTAACACAAGGTACATTTTCATTTAATGAATGAAAAGTAAACAGTCTTCTAATTTATCTTCCAGACTCACTTCTCAATGTGTATCTTCTCTGTCTACAAAGAAAAATTAAACTTATCTAGAGATAAACTATCCTGAATCTAGTACAACTGCAAGATGTTTTGCAAACTTTAGTAAAACTTTAGTAATACTGCTTTACCAATTATTAAGGAGCATAGGTTCAGTGCCATTGTTGTTCAGAACTTAGACAAGTTTAACCTCAACTAATATCTACTTTTCTTTAGTAGTTACATATCTCTTTTATTCAGTTGCCTGAAAGTATTTCTGTAATCTGCACTGCTAATCAACTTGATATACATACATATATACCCCTTATGCTTTAGAGTAAGCAACATTAAACAAAGTTCATAGAACGAATAAAAAGTTGCAAACAAAAGAAAGGGAAAGGAAAGGAAATACCATTCATAAGACCTCATTATTTTTGCAGTCCTTGCTTTCATTTGTCCATATACTGTTTCATGCAGTTCCTTTTGTTCAAAATTCTCTCTTTTGGGGGATCTCATTAACTCAATCTAACACAACTTTCTTAGTGTTAGATTTCTACTCATTTTTCTTCTGTCACTTTTATTTTGAGATTTAATCCTTTTTTTCTCTGTGATAAAATAAGTTTTACGTATTTTTCTATTGGTCATTCACATTGTATTCTGTCCACATTCATTAATCATCCATTTATTCTTTTCTTATCTCAATAGTCTTGTAATGTTGAATTATTTGCTAACCATAAATTTTTTTCCTTTGGATTATATTTATTCAGAATATTTTACTTTTTCTTCCAAAACTCATCCTTGGTTATTTCATTGACATTAATCATTGGAATATAACATGCAACTATCATCATCTAACTGAGTCCTTTTTTCATATATGCCCAGAACAGTATAGAACAGGGGTGTCAAACTCAAGGCCTGAAGTCCAGATCCGGCCCACTGGGTGCTTAGATCTGGCCAACGGGGCCGCCCTGGAAACAGCAAAGGACCCTCCCAGGCTCTGTTTTCGCTGGCAGAGGCTGGAGGAGGCCGTCGCAGCCAAAAACAGAGCCTGGGAGAGCCGCATGTGGCCTCCTGAGCTCCATTTTTGCTGGCAGAGGGCTGCAGGAGGATTTCCCAGCCCCACCTGGGCCACCACAGGTGCCTCTGACACAAGTGACGTTGAGCTGGCCAAGCCCACCCTGGCCGCCGCCACCCACACCCCCAAGGTCAAACACAACCCTGATGCAGCCCTCAATGAAATTGAATTTGAGACCCCTGATACAGAAGTTCAGCCCTTCTGAACATGGAGGTTAGTCAAAAAAAGAGGTACAAACCAAGAGTACTAAACTATCTTTATTGTAAAGTTACAATAACAGAAACCTGTAAGTCTGAAAGCATCACTCCCCTCTCTTACTTTTATTTTCTAGAAAATTAGGGGAGGATCCCTTCTGAGATGCATCCCATACTCCTTTTTCTTCTGTGGACTGAAATATATTTTGCATAATAGTTGTCTAGACCAGGGGTCCCCAACCTTTCGGACCTCAGGGACCACTAAATTCATAATTTTTAATCCCGTGGACCACTAATATGAGCTGCCTAATGACTGGTTGGGTGGGCGTGGGTAGGTGGTCATGTGACTGGGTGGGCGTGGCCAACTCAATGTCACTCATGTCGAGGGGCGCCTTGCCAGCCTGTACTCACCCCTCCCCTCTCAGCCACTCCTCGCCTCCCCACCTGGGCTCCTTAGGCCCCTACAGGAAGCAGTTGTTGGAGCTAAGCAGCCACCATGAGAAAGAGTTGGCAAAACAGCTGGCTCAGTTCAAATTGGATCTGGCCGAGAAGGAGGCTCAGCAGAAGCACCTCACTGAGGACTACGAGCATAGGCTTTCCAAGCAGAGAGAAGACCTGCAGGAGTGCAAGGCCAGGTGCCAGTGCCTGGGGGCTCAGCGGGCTGAGATGGTCAGCCAGTTTCAGGCCATGATGCAGTCCATTGGAAAAAGGCCCTCCGGTTCTTTGCCACCAGTGGCGCTTCCTTCCAGCCTTTGCCCAAAGCCTTGCACCAGGAGGCCGAAGCAGCCCCCAAGTCGGAATTTCTGTCTCCCTCCGATCTACACAAAAAGACCCTGAAGGGGGAGACTCTCTGCAGCAACACAAACATTCATTGTACATATCTGTCCCAGGGGCTGTAGTTTGAGGACCCCTGATTTAGTGCAATATAAATAATTTTTCTGCAGACCACCAAAATGTTCTCGCAGACCACCAGTGGTCCACATACCACCAGTTGGTGACTGCTGGTCTAGACTGTGTGGCTCTTCCTCCTGTGTCCCAAGGTCACAACCCATTCCATGATAATATCAATTCATATTTTCTGACCATTAGCTCTTTCATATTTACGCTTCCTGGAATCAGAGTTTTTGTGCAGTATAAAAATAGCACAAATAAATAAGCTTATACCTTCGCTTCCCTGTATTGCGTAACTCCATTGAATGAATCAGATTGTTTTCTTTCAACTTTACTACATCC